AGGAGTCAAAGTTTGCACCAAGATTTTGTCGTTTCTTTCGAATCACATCGAAGTAATCCACTTTTCTTGAAGCAGACTTGATTGATAATGATCGTGCCCTCGTCCCTAACAGCTTTCAGAGATTCCTAGCAGAATACTTTCCGCAGGATACTTTAATCAATCGACCTTGACCTTCGCGATGAATTCAAGTTTACGTGATGAAGATTACATCAAATTTCTACAAGATCAAGGTACACTTAATTGTTGGTTTGATCTCTAGAAGGAAGCATTTATGAAGCCATGATTAGCGTACAACTTTGTCTACAGTGAAACGATCGATATCGCTAGCCCACGACCACCTGTTGATATGTTTATAATTCATGAGAAAACGATCGATTATGAAGTTATCAAATATTAAAGCTTATCGATAATGCTAATATAGAGATTTTGGGGGTATGGCGAAGCGAGTTAGGTCCCATTGTTAGTGAAAATGGTTTAAGATGTCATGTGCATACTTAAATGTTAATAACTTGTTATTGTAACAAATAATTTGAAGTCATAACCTTATTTACGATAAATGAGGGGTAACAAATGACAACTTTGATTTATATGTTTATGGCAAATCATAACTTACAACTTGGGTTGGATAAAGACATACAGCTGATTACTTTAATCAAAGAGATGGATCTATGGCACAGATTGCGCATCTTGAAAAGTGTGCTGACAATTTTCAAGTTTGTCATTGTGCTGTTTGGTGTTTCCTCTAAATTGAAGGACCTCAATGAAAGCAAACAAAAAATAACAAAAACACTTAAGAGGTAATTTTCAAAAAGGAAACAACATTTTTCATTGTACAAAACATGTTTTGACATTCCAATGTCATCAGTTGCAAATGTCCGACGGTTGTACGTTTGAATTTTCACTTAAGATGTAATAACAAAGCAAATAAATATTAAATGCTAGAGAACTAAGACAATCTGAGTTACTTCCCTAACTCTATGGATGCACGCTAAGGGGTAGGTATGTTTTTCAGGTTGCAGGTTGAAAAATCGACTTATACATTCGAATAAGTCTACATAGCTGGTAAGCCTGAAGAACACTCCAGTTAGCCTAAATTATATTAGCTTAGGTTGCTTGCAGTTAGCCTTTAAATTAGGGTTTATTCAACATCAACCTGAATAAAGAGATTGTTTTAACCTGCAACTTGCAACCTGCAAAATATACCTGCCACACACCAAGCACAAACCAATTCTTAACTCTTCTTGGACTCTGGTCATTGGTCTCTTTGTTAAAATCGCTGATGATCGCACATAATTCACAGTCTGTCAGAGGTGATCACAAAGATTAGAACATGTTTGATTTTAAAGGGGCTATGATTTGTCAGGTATTTGTTTGATGTTACCTCTAAATTGAGGGAAACCTCAAATTGAAAGCAAACAAAATAGAATCAAAAACATTAAAGAGGTAACAACAAAGCAGAAGAGAACACAGATTGTTTCGATTAGGATAGTGAACAGTATTTGCTTGCTCCAAAGCAGCTGGCCAGGATGACCTTGGGTGTTCAGAGCTTTATATATTCACTTGATTTTGTAGTAAGGAGGCTTAATGCTGTACTTGAGGAATATCAAAAGAAATACCTGCCAGTAAAGGAACCAGATGTGAAGGTAAGGAAATATGACAGTAAAAATTATGATTTAATATTAGCTTTATGTAAGGCAGTTTAGTCAAAGCAGCCAGTGATTATGGTGATTGTCATCAACTGAGTAACAAAATTAAATCATTTATTTGATAATAATTCTTCGCCAATGTCAGTCTGTGGTGTTGCTCGGGATGAAGTTAAGACTGCCCTTATTCAATGTGATTTTCATGGCTATTGTTTTGACTCAGTGCTAGAAAATCATTTATAATAATTAATAATTATATTAAATTATAAATAATATAATATTATTATAATTATTTTCATTTAGACTTCATTATGCTTCTTTTGTCAGGGCACAGAGCCACTTCCACCATGGATCACAAACTCCAGGTAAATCAGTTGTTGTGACTGCATTTTCAGAAAAGTCGACATTAGATCTACCTAATGTTGTGATCTGGGGTTCGTTTTGGGGGGCTAGCTGTCACCTCCCAGAAAAGAATGCCTGATGGCAGTTTAAGATCTACCATGCTCATTCAGCTTGTTGTTCCCACATGTATTCCATACCCATTGATTCTAATCTCACTGGTAAAAAGTTTACATTAGTATTGTTAGTTTATTCATAACAAAATTTCTCACCTTTTGAAAGTTTTTCTACGTTGTTAAAAGTAGGATTAAAATTCTTAAAAGTATATCTGGTTAGCTTTATCAACCAGGATTATATTGTGTCAGTAAAGATTTCTCAATCTTACCTCTGGGTTTTTGGTGTTAACTCCTCCTCGCCTCCCACCCAAAACGTTCCTTTGGAAATTTCAGTTATATTTGTAGCTTTATGGTTTTTGGAAATCCCTTCCCCCTCAGAGTTCCTAGTAAACTTATTGAGGGTGCTGTTGGTTACTAAATCTTTCCAGAAACAGCATATTTCCGTCATTCACCTGGCAACATGGCAACAGTGCCAACAAATCTGATTCATCTTGAGAAAAATGCTCTTAAAAGTGTACTTATTTGCTTCTGTTTTGTAGCATCCTATCTCCTCTTCTGGCAGAGTATGACAACAATATAAGAGTTTCCCAGGAGCAGGTGTCATTCTTGAAGGTAAGAGAAGATAAGAAAAGATACTTAAGATAAATTCTTACATGGAACCCTGAAGAATTAAGTACTGTACTATCTTTTCTTCCTTTACCAGTGTAGAAAACCATTCAACAAATTAGGAGCCAGAGTAAATCACTAGATTTGAAAATGGGTTTCATTGTTTGGTGTTGTAACACTGAAATCTGACATTTTAAATTTTGTTGACTTTGTTTGAATTTTAGGAGGAGTTATCATCCTTGAAACAGAAGACAGACCATGTTGTGCAGGAAAACACCAGGTACTTTGTATGATTTATGAATAATGGCATCGGACACTGATTCTAAGCAGATTCTTATTAATATACAACCTTGACAATTCTATCTTTTTGTCTGAAAATTATTGTAATGATATACTGTGAACTGCCCCTTATAAGCTCCCCTGTCTATAAGCAACCCTGGTGTTAGGCCCATCTACCTGTAAACCAAAAAATGCATTAATTTTTGGTTATAAGCTCTGCTTGGATATAAGCCCCCCTCAAGCTTTCATTGTTTTGAATTTGTTTTATTGTGATGGTTTAAAGCTTAATTACCACTAAATGAAAAGCCTATTTCGATCAACATGTGCAGCTATAGCTCGTTTCAAAATGGTTTTTTATTCTAGTTATAAGCCCCCTCAGATATAAGCCCCTTTTTTTTCAAGCCCATCTAAAAACCCTTGCAAAGTTGAATAAGCTCAGGGCTTACAAGCAGCAGTTTACAGTATTTTGTTAATGTTTTCTGAACATTTAAACAGGTTACATGAAGAGTTAAGAAGAAGCATTGAGGCACAAATGGACATTGTGCGGCAAGGAGAAGGAAGTGGTGTTGAAAAGGAAGTGATGGGGAACATGCAACACCAACTTCAGCTATTGTCACAGGTAATCTGCTATGGCTCTACAAGTTATTACATAACTGAGTTGAATTATTGTGTTTTCAAGAGAACCTCACAAAATGCTTAGGCTGCGGACACATGCACAACCTTTCCTACATGTAAGTTCTGTTGTATGGGGACCAACCTGCTTCAAACACAACGGGTTTTTGCTGGTTTAGATAATCTGTCCCAATCAAATACTTATCTTTAATTACGGTAAATACTGGTTGTTTGGCCTTACTCTTTGGGGAAATGATCAACTTTCAGGTGGCTAGATTGGTTGAATGAGCAGTCTTTTGAGAAAAACCATATTCAATAGTTGTTGATTTGGGTGAAAAGACTGCTGAATATCAATCAACCATCTTTTTCAGTTTAATATGTAATATTATTATTACCTGTATTATTATTTCAAAATTCAAGGAAAGAGACAGCTACGTTGAACTGTGGCAAAATGCATGCAGCGAACTGGAAAAGCTTCAGGAAATTGAAAGGGTATGTTATATTTTTTGAGTGGTGGATGATACCTCTCTGAACTTAATATTCCTTCAAAGAGGAAACACTAACAGCCACATTAAATTTGTTGTTTTTATCCATCGTAGGAGAAAGATGGAGACCTTAAAGCCAGATCAAGGACCATGGCAAGCTTGCAGGTAAATGAGAAGTTTATAATAAAAACATATATATACAATAATGTTTTGAATGAGCTTCACTGAATTGATGTGTAATAAATGAAAAATGTTCTTCAGATTTATAGTACAAAACTTTGTTGTTGCTAACAACTTGCATTATTTATATTAAACACTCAATGGCTGGTCCCTCAGCAAACCAGTTAATTTTCTTTTCAGAGAATCTCAGTGTTTCCCAAGGAGGGAACCAAGGGTAACATTGAGATTGTAGTGAAACTAATTTACTTGTGTTCCTCAGGGACCAGTCATCAAGTGATTTGTTATATAGTGCTGTGAAGACAGTAAAAGAATTTGCGTGCAATGGCACTTGTTAGTCAACATTTGCAGGCAACAGCACACTGTTATCCTCTGAGGTCATTGATTTTGCAATGTTAAATGTTATGTGATCTCCATGTTGCCAATGAGAGTGAACACTGTCGGGAAGATATTCCTGGTATATAACAATAATTAAGCTTATTACATGTGTACACAATACAAACTGTGGAGGGGCAGTGGCCTCGTGGTAAGTGTGCTCAACTTGGGATCAAGTGGTGAGGGTTCAAGCCCGGGCTGGGGACATTGTGTTGTGATTTTGGTCAAGACACCTTACTCTCACAGTGCCTCTCTCCACCCAGGTGCACAGCGAATTATGCTGAGGGTAACCCTGCTATGGACTAGCATCACATCCAGGGGGGAGTAGAAATATTCTTCGCCTCTTTATGCTACAGAAAGTAGGATAATCTCCAGCTTGATGGGTCACTGGGCTTGTATGCAGACAGTGCAAACTGATTCCCAGTTGCAGAAATTTAAGACTCAAACTTGAGTGCAACCATTGTGTACAAGCCCCTGACCTTCTCATTTCCACATCATTTTTACCATTGAGAAGCTTCACTTTCCCAGCCTCTAAATGAGCGAGTTTGACGTTTTCAAGTTTCTCTGGATAGTAGGCCCTCTCCTTTTTTTTTTTGTTTCACTTACAAGTCAATGGATTGCTGTTGGGAACTGTTTTCATGGGCAGCTTTCTTGTCTTTTAGTAATAATATCCCCCTTTTTTTTGGTTTGGCTTGAAAACTTGGTTGACTAGCCTTCATCTCTCTTAATTCAATTTCAGAATGACCTTCATAAAGCCAGGCAGTTTGCCGAGGAACTCCAATCAGTAAACAGAAAGCTAAGAATGGTAAGAATCTGAAACCTGTTGGAGCAAAAACGTTTTTCCCTGTGTCCACTGATTGTCCTATCTAGCCAGTCATAGGACAGCTGACTGGGCCAATTAACCAATCAGAACTCATCTGTGACTTAGCGCGGGAAGAGACGCAAGGAAGAGAAAAGTCGCACAGTGCAAAGCGCGGGAGAAAACGCTCAGTTTCAAGAGCGCGTTCGAGAAGTCGTGTAATGGCAATGGCGGGAAGATGACGCTAAAAGTGAAAAAAGTCGTATACTGCCAAACACGGGAAACGCCGCATAGTGCTAAGCGGGGGAAGAAACGCTTAGTGCCAAGAGCGGGAGTAGACACTTAGTACCAGGGGCGGGAAAATTTTCTTGGTGCTGGGCGCGGGAAGAGTTGTGCGATCCGATTTGCTGTCAAAACAGCGTTGTCTTGACTGGAAATCTGTAAACATCTCCATGCAA